GTTTTTCAATTTGAAAACATTAATTACAGACACAGTGAATTTGTATACTGTTTTTGTGGCTTAGAACTATTAATATAAATACTAAATTACGTAAAGACTTGTGTACCAAGGAACACAGTGGTTTTCTATACTGTTTTTTTTTCTAATCTGGTAACATTAATTATTAATAGACCAATTAAGTTACATAAATGCTTTTGTATTGAGGGACAGAATGGATTTGTGTACTGTTTTTCTGATTTAGGAATATTTATTTTCAACATTAATTTTGTGTATTAAATTTGTGTATTTTTTACTTAATTAAATAATTGATTTTTAATGTTTGAAAAATATAGACTCTTAGATTAAGGTAAAATTATCACTTATAGTTCATTTTAAATGTAAAAAAAATTGTGGTCATGTGATATCCATTCATGACTAAATGATCTCTGATTACTTGATATCGTATTGAAATAACAAAGGTTCTTGCATTTTATTCTTTTAACGAAATGAACTTACGAGAATCGTTTAATAATTAAAATAGAAGTTGGCATAGTATTACATTTTAAATACGTGGACATATAAAAAATCAAAGTGCTAAATTCAAAGTGCTTCCATCTAGTAGCAGCAATATGCACTACCATGTTTTTACAATATAGTAACGTAGCTACAAAAGTAAACAACACAGATAAATTACGTTTTTCTGTCAAAGTTTTATTGAAAAGAAATTCGTTGATTTATAATTTCAATATTTATTATATTATAATGGCTAAGCTCAAAAATTCAAATTATTACTCCAAATATTTAAAAAAGATGTTATCACAGGTAAGTCCACATGCTCCTTTAAATCAGTATCACGTCAGAAATTGTCCTCCGGGCGACCTCTTCCTGCTCGGTATTCTTGATACTGGGAAATCACACAAAGTAAGCAGTACACCTGAAATAACGAACAAAGAAATTAATAATTATGGACAGAGGATTTTTTACAAAGATTATATAAATATACTTTGAAAACATAATAAAAGATAAAAGCGAATAAAGGAATAATTAATTTTATTTTAAGTTCAACATGAAATATTCTAAATTGAATTTGTTAAATGATCACTAGATGGCGCATAATAAGCATTTTCATGTACACATGCATAACAGACATCCATAGTTTCGGCTTTTCTTACCCCTGGTAGGCACAGCACAAATAGCCCATTGCATAGCTTTTTCTGAAAAACAAACAAACAAAAATCAACTTTTCTCAATCATCAGAAAAATCACTTACATTCACGCAAGCAAGCAGAGAATCGATGATAAAAAGGCCCCCAAGGTAAGGCATTTCAACCTAAAATAACAAAATAATAGTTAAACTATTCTTAATTGAAAACTCTGGTAAATCAAAAGCTATGTAGTTCAGGAATGTCTTCATGAAATAACCATTAAGATGCTTTTACTTGAAAACTCTGCAAAATAAAAGTAGTTCTAGTTTGAATTTGTTCTTAATAATAGAACCATTAAGCATATATAATGGGTCAGCAGTAACGTTATGAACTCACAACGCTAAAATCCCGGGTTCGATTCCCCACCGTAAACAGAGTGCAAATGACGCTTTGTTTAGCTTTGTGCTAAAACATAACAAAACAAACAAATCCAACTTAAAACCTCCGATAAATCAAAACCTTTCAAGTTCAAATAAATACCTATATTTATTACATTATAAGTTATTTGATAGTATTTTAACAAGATGGGTTTGTTAGCATAAGGGGCTATCTGTGCTCTGCCCACCGTGGGTATCGATACCCGGTTTCTTGCGTTGTAAGTTCTCATACATTCCGCTGTGTCACTGTGGAGGGAGGGGTGAACAAGATAGGAGAGAGAAATGTCATTACCAAAACCTATCATATTCATACAAGTTTATTTCAATTTATCGTCTTGAAATTCCCAAACAAAAGCATCAAGTCAAGTAAACAGGGATATGGAACGTAAAAATTATATCAGGTCTCTGAAAATACCTCCGAAAATCCTCCTATCCTAAATTAAACAAGATAAAATGCACGAAGAAAGAATACCAGTTGTTTATATGACAATACAGGTTATTCATAAACAAAATAAAACAGATAATATTATATTTTTAAGTACAGAAAATGTACAACTTTAGAAAATAAACATTTCCTTTGAAAAGTATAACATTTAACCTTTTAGAATCAGACCTCTAATAATAAATGATTTTCAACTTAATAGCCGTCAAAACATTAAAATATGTGGTAATCACCTACTGTTAAAAACAATGATTGTTTTAATGCACACTAAAAATAACTACTCCTAATTTTATATTGTATGGCAACGTTTTTATATAATTGACAAGTAATGTT